ATAGTGCCTTGGGGATCTTCAACGTCCACCTTAAGCAGACTTACTGGACCCTGGTTTAACTTCTCATCCGAAGGTTAGCATCTCTGACATTTCAACACTACATTGGAGTATCAGCTTAGACTATGTGATTCCAAGACCCAACATGGGGCCTGAACCCACAATCTTCTGACTCAGAGGCGAGAGTGCTACCACTGCACCAGGTTGACTGGTTCAGATCGTACCTCTCACACAGCCTCCACTTCATCTTCACAAACAGTTTCTCCTCTAGCCCCCACACCATCTTGTGTGGTGTTCCTCAGGGCTCTCTCCTTGGTCCACTCCTCTTCAATATCTATCTGCATCTGCCCCCTCTTGCTGACATCATCTGCAGACATGGGGTCAACTTCCACATGTATGCGAATGACACCAACTATACCTCTCTGCCTCCACTCTTCACTCCAGGACCATTGCTGTCTTGACAGAATGTCTGTCAGACATCAAGTCGTGGATAAGAACTAATTTTCTTCAGTTGAACATCAACAAGCCCGAGGCCCTCCTGATTGGCTCCCGTCAGCGCCTCTTCACCTCAGGCGCTGACAGCATCACCATCCATGGTTGCACACTCCACCTTGCTAAGCCAGTCCAAAACCTTGGCATCTTGTTTGACCCTCAACTATCCTTTCTATCCCACATCTGCGACATGACCCATTCTGCCTCCCCCCACCTCTGCAACATTGCCCAGCTCCATCACTGTCTCACACCAAAGGCCACTCTGTCCCCACCCCTGCGAACAGCGTCCCACAATCTCTCTGCCTGGCCCCTTCTCTTGCCTCTTTCAAGACCCTCCTCTTCAACCGTGCTTTCAATCTCCCTGCTTTCCCCCCTGCTCTCCACCCTCCCCGATCCCATCCCCTAGCTCGGGTCCGAAACTCCGTCTGCCCAGCGCTTTGGGACATCCTTCTGATGGGAAAGGCGCTAAAGAAATGTAATTTTGTTGTTGTTGTTGACACAATCTGTGATTCAAGCAAAAAGCATCAAGGCATTTAAAAGGAAAATCAATGCATGTATGAGGGAAGAGAATAGATTGGTATGGGGAGAAACTGGGGGAGAAATTAACATATCCAGCTTGACTAATTGGACCAATTGACTGTAGGTTGCCTTTAATTCTATGTAAAATGCTGAGAACTGCTGGTCTTCCTGTTGATCATTGAATCATTCTAAGGCTGTGCCATGTAAATGAGAGCATCATAAAGTTCACTGGTTTGCTTTAAAAAATTAACTATTGGATAGCAGATTATCATGAGCCAGATAAATAATTTCCTATTTCCTGACATTTTGTTGTGTTTTTGGAACAATGAGGTCAAAGCTTTGGTGGTCAAAGCTTGACTTCAACGCTTTCTTGAGAATAGTTATGATATTCATTTCTTGGCATTCATTTCATTTTCTATAATTTCTGTGTGGTTTTGGCATAATGTAATCTTTGGTGGTCAAAGCCTGAGTTCGATATTTTCTTACATTTATGATATTCATTGCTTCCGGCTCAGAGGATAAACTCAAATTGACAGGGAATAGATGAGCAAAAAAAAATACATTCATTTGAATAGGTTTTGGAGAACTGAAGCTCTTATGCCAACTGGCAAAGCTTTTCTTAGATTAAATTTTTGAATGATAATAATCTTTGCATTTAATACAGTGCTTTATTGTGTCACAAACAGGCCATGTGGAGTCCTGGAACTTAGTACTTAGAGGACCTGGGCTCGACTTCCAAGCAGGGCAATGGGCAAGTTTCCTTACTCCACATGCCTCTGTTCACCTAGCAGTAAGTAGGAACCCGGTTGTTAGCCGATTGCAAATCACTTTTCCAGAGATAATAATCCCTCCACACAAAAAAACTATTTGGTCACTCAATCCACAACTGTTTGTGGGACACTGCTGTGTGCAATTGGCTGTGTATTACGTAGACTTTACAGTACGGAAATAGACCATTTGGCCCAACAAGTCCAAGTTTACGCTCCAAATGAGCCTCCACCTCTCTGAATCCCCTCTCCATTTCCTCTCATGCAGCAGAAATGAAATGGTGTGAGAAGTTTAACATCTAATATGTAATTGGAGCTGTGGTCAACCTTCCCTTTAAATTGTAATGGAATGCTTTATTCTACGCGGGTGGTCCATAAATCCACAGACTTCACTTAACAGTTACATGATTATGGTTGAAATATTCTACAGTACTATCCATTTTGCAATTAAAAATCTAACACTAATATGCTAATTATACATTATACTAACATGAAGGGAAGATTTTGAAATATGAAATCACAAAAGGCGATGGAATTACCATACAACACTGGATGTGGTACAGATAAATGTTTCCATATAGGAGCTCCAACCTTTCCTTTGAGGAACATGGACTTATGGAACACATTTTACATACTACAAGCTTCCCCATATGTGAATGTGGTTTGGGTATCAGCAGCAAATTTGCATTTACTTTTAAACTGGGGGCAATTTCCACGATGCCACACAAACCCATATTACTTTAAGCCACTAACATATGGATATTTTTTGATACGTTTGCTCTAAAATTATCCAAATCCATGCAGCAAACAAGGAAAATGTTTCGCTACTAAATAGCCCATTCAATCTTAACTGTAGGTTATCAGCCTCGGGATGTAATTTTGCTGGTTGTTGTTATAATAATTATCCTTGCATTTGATCTAGTGCCTTATCATGACATTTTGTCATTGAGATGTCTCAAAGCACCTCACAGAATATACTGTAATGCTGCAAGATGCAGCAGCCAATTGTGCACAGCAATGTACCATAAACAGCCATGGAGTGATCTACACATATTGCACCTCAAAGGCTTACTGAAGAATGACTTGTGCAACCATCCTTCACACTGCTGCTTTGCTGCAGTGTAGTGTCGCTGGAACATGTTAATCTTAAAAGCACAGTTTAATTATAAAACATTGTAATAACTTTGGCAGCATTCCTCAATTTGTAGATTTTCCACAGTTTTATTTTTTTTTAAATTAAAAGCGATTTCCATGAATTTTGTCAAGGCATGATGGTCCAATTATTACATAATAAGTTACAGTACATATTTATAATATTTACCATACACTGGATTTGCTCGTATTATTGAGCCAACTTGGCTAAACTTGAAAAAGTCTCAGCCCAAAACGAACAATCTGTCTCTCACTGGCTTCCTCAACTGGAATCCATTAGCCAACTTGGCTAAATGATGCAGGAAAATGTAGGTTCCAAGAAAGACTAGAAACCAGCTAAAGGCGAAGTTAGTTTTTCCTTCAACCTAGTTTGAACTAATAATAAACATTAATACCATGAACATTTTTAATGACCTCATGACAGGTTCAGAAACACCCTCATCTTTGAGTGGGAGGAAAGTTTTCCTAAATTTTAATAGAGGAATAAGTGATAAATACCTAACACATAAGAAAGTTCTATCCTGGATGCTTGTCGTGTCACAACTGATTTAAAAAAATGTATTAGGTCTAAATCATTAGTTAAATGAAAGCAACAAGGATCAAGTTAACATGATTTTTTTTAAAAAATACACATTTCAATATTTTGTCAATAATTTCTCACGTCAATTCTCATTCTAAATGCAAGATTTATAATTTGTTTACAATTTTCAATACTACTCACCTGGTTGACTCAAACACTCAACATTCTGTGGCGAGAACCGATCCAGAGAGCAGGCAGACGTCCTTGCGCCACTACAGAGATAAGCCAGTACTGTTCTTATATATAGCAATTTATTTTAGACTGCATGTCTGCTGCACATCCACAAATTTGAGAGATATGCTTAGAACCACAGAAGCTATTATCCAAAATTATATTTCTTTGCCACTAAAATTCACAGCAGATATTATTCTATTCTGATGACGCAGTGAAACCTGCCTGTAGGATCACCTAGTTTTAATTCAATGGTTTCTTCCATTTTAGGTTCAGGAGCTTGTCCGAGCTGAGAACCAGCCAAACATGCTACTTTTGGATTGCCTCCTGGGAGGGGCAAAAGTTCATGCCAGGCTAGCTCAGCTACAACAACAATTTGCATTTATACAACACGCAGGGAGCGCCCAGAGTGCTGACAGTGTGGAGTACAATGTTACAATTTCCTTCTCTCCCTTTTGGGGAAATAACCAGACTCTGAGACTTAATACCTGCCATTGACTTAATGGGGTCAAGAAAGTCCTATGAAACAAATCACAAGCCCCACACTCTGTGACACCACACTAATAGGAACACCTTAATTTGCCCAGGTTGTCATTTATGCTTTGTGGTGTAATGTTCAATACTGTATCGTATTTTCACCACTGCAGCAGGAACAAGATTGAAAGATTTTCTCTGGTGATAGTATTTTCTCTGAAACAAAGATTGTTGTATATAAATTTAGTGTGTCCAATTATTTTTCTAATTTTCTCCCCACTGCCATATGCTCTTTCTTTCTACTCCTGCTCTGGCCTCCTCTTGCTAGTGTTTGGTTTCTCCAGTGCTCCAGCCAAATAGTCACTGTTTATGTGTGAACCTTAGTAGTGATTGTGATAAGCCACTCCACTGCTCAAGGAGTCACCACCAAGCCTGAACCCCTCCCTCCCTACCCAGATGCCATAAACATGCATTACCAGTAGAGGGTGGTGTAATGGGAACGGGAGCAGGAACCCTGGCTGGTTTTGCCCCCCTGAATCCTGCAAACTCCAGGGCCAATTCAGCCTCCCATTTAATAATAATAATCCTTTCTTTTGATTTAGTGCCTTATCACATTCTCGAGACATCTCAATGTGCTTCACAGAATATACTGTAAAGTGAATTGACTGTATAATTTGTGGGCAAAACGCGGCAGCCAATTGCGCACAGATAATCCTTGTATTGATATAGCAATTTATAACATCGTTGAGACATCTCAAAGCAGACCTAACTGAGATCAGCAAACTTAGCCCAGACCTGAATTTGAACCATCGAGCTCCTTTGAATACAGGTCAGACAGGTAAGACAAGTGAAAGTTGTGGCTTTATGCCCCATAGTTCAATAGATGTGAACAGTTACATTTGCCATACAAGTGATTCACACTTCTTTGGACTAACCATTCTTTTTTTAAAAAAAGTATGTTAAATTTATGATCCAATACAATTAAGGGTTGATCAATCTGAAAGTGTTGACCTTACTTTGAACACTCATGTGACACTATTCCTTTGAGGTACCATTTCAAACTGATTTCATTGTAATTTTGTAGTAATACAATAGATGCAGTTTACAGTCGCTAGCTAAAACCAACAAGTTTTCGGATTTCATGGTGTACTGGGGCTGCCAGTTCTCTTGCTTTTTCAGCTCCACGGTTCAAGACTTGCTCCAGGAAACCTTGGTCAGCTCTCAGTTTTTCAATTTCATTTTTAATAGGTGCAAATTTCTCAATGACAACCTCAGCCACCACTGATTTGTAGCGTGCGGTGTCTAGTCCCCTGCTTTGATGCACAACCTCCTCGACACTCATTCCTGTTAAGGCCGTGTGCACAGCAACCAGATTGGATACCCCTGGACGTCCCTCTGGGTCGTAGGTTACTTCAGAGGTGAAGTCGGTTACCGCTTTTCGAAACTTCAATGCTATTTCCTCTGGTGAATCAGTGATGTTTACAGTCGCTAATTGTTGGGGGTCAGATTTCGACATCTTTGCTGTAGGATTTCTCAACGATTTCACTTTCTTAGTTTCACCTGCAGTTGAGAGAATCAAATAATGTTGATTGAGAATGATTTTGAAAACCTCTACATTACTGCACATTGAATATTGTTAATTGTGTCAACAACAAGCAAAGCAGCGTTGTCAGTAAATTGACACAACTTGATTACATCAGTCTAATGTTTAAAGGTTGTTTGAAAACTATGCTGACAAATAAAATCACTTCCAGTGATGTGGGAACATATTGGGAAAACATTGTTTGCTGTAACTACACCCTCATCTACCCATTTTGCCTGCTGTGTTGTATAACCAGAATGCTGCATACTAAACAGCAAGTTACAGATTTGATTTCACTCGAGGACAATTTATCCAATCTACAAGTGAAAGTGTATGCGATTTACAAACCCCTCATAATATTCACCAAATCCATTTTCTGGAAGGTAAAGTGCAGGATTTCAAGATAGTTGGGTCTGTAGGTACAGTTAAAAATTCCTCTGGTTTCTCAGAATTGGACTTACTCAAAATGGCTTTGGGTACAGGAAAACAGTTGCCGTAATTGTTGTTGAAGGTGCGAGCTATGTCCTGTGTGAGCTCCAAGTGCTGAATCTGATCTTCTCCAACAGGCACGTGGGTTGATCTTTTAAGAGACAAAGATGCAGCACTTTTAACTCCAAGAAGAAAATAGGTGGTGATTCAAAGAAAGGTTAAGGCATCATGTAAACATTCTGCTTTTTGTGATATATTTGGAACAAACCTTATGGAGCCTAGACAGCAGTGTTGCAATGGCAGTCTCTCTCTCCCCAGCTTGCTAAGCTAAAATAATGTGCTATTCCTTGAAGGCCAGTGCAATTACACCAATTGTAATGCACTGGACATACCATCCTTTTATAATAAAAGGCCAAGTTTTACTGGGTTTTCAAAGTCACATTTGATTTTTCTGATATCAACTATTGGAGACTTGGACCATGGGGGGCACACTACTATTATGATGTTGAGCAATGCAGGCTTTTAAAGAAGATTCCTCTGATGGGATAATGGACTGAGACAAACTCTTTAACCCACCCATGCGGATATCACAGGGGCCATGTCTAGGAATATAGGAACAGGAGTAGGCCATTCAGACCCTTGAGAGACCATTCTATAAGATCGTGGCTGATCTGTACCTCAACTCCAATTACCTGCCTTTGCCCCTTGATACCCTTACCTAACCTGTCTAGCCAAGGATAAGCTGTCTAAAGGGGACAGTTTGCATGATTGGCAAATAGTATTAGTTCTGTAGGGACTGCAAATCCAGGTATTTAACAGTAAAATTGACTGTGGGCAAATGTACCTTGTCTCTCCATATGGTGCACATGACTAAGTTTAGTAATTCATGTGGATCATGATACAAAGAGGGAAATCAATGAGTTAGAACATGTCCACAAACAAAGTGGGATAAGATATGGAGGAATGTCCAGAACACAAGGATGCTAAACCACGTAATTTAGCACATTGAATGGCATTGTTTGCACTGAATGGTTGTCTTTGTTTTTTGTACAAAAAATTGAAGGAAAGCTACAGAAACCCCTGTAGTTCCAAATGTAGATCAATAGTGTGTTGAGAGGTATACGACTCAGCCAGAGAAAAAAAGAGGAACATAGACAATAGAGGAGATAAGGTATTTATACATACTGGGTTGGGGTATATCTGTAGAAGGATGAAGATGTATATGCCACTGACAAGGAGACTGTATTGCTAAATTTTCAGAAATCTTGTAAAACTTATAATCATGATACACATTGAAAAGCATTTCTCACTTGTACAAGAGTATGTCTGCAGACTGCAGGACTGGGTAAGTAAACAGACCCACGGTGCCTTCGTTATTCTGACCAGAGCTTTTCATCTGCAGAAAGAAACAAAGCTGTTAGAAAAAGTACCAACCAGTACAGCCACCTAACAACTTGGTTTAAAGCAGCTCTGCTATAGGAAGCAATATCAATGCGCAGGGCAAACAGCAACATTTGTTCAGAAGACAGACACACGTTGTGTATACAGGGATGCTGTTACCTCTGCTTTTCCGCGGGAGAGCAGTCTCCTTCTTTTCCCTCAGATTTGTTCATTTATAATAACATTTTACTTTATCAAAGAACAGATTGTGGATACATGATATGCTTTCTTTTTAGGAGCAGGGTAAAGTCAACAATAACTTGCTTTATTTATGCGGTAGCAGCACTTAATGATGACATGACTCAGCAGGTGGGGGGAGCTAAAATGAAGACACAAAGACAAAAGTCTTCAGGTATGATTTGAAGACTGGCAAAGAGGGAGAGATTGAGGCAGGTAGTTCCAGAGATTCGGGGTAGAGTAGAGATAGATATTATAAAGTAAATTATTTTTCTACATTGGCTCATGTACACTTTGGGATTGGCCAGATATACTGCAATGGTCTTTTTAGATCCTGCATACTTCTGTGTTATTCTACGTTTCTGACAGGAAGATTGTTCTGAAGTATATACATTTACCTTTTAGCTGTATTGAGTTAGTATGTCATCAATCTAATTGCTAGGTGAGATATTACAGCCAATTTCTCACACCCTATGAAAGACCAGTTATTTGTGCTAATTCCTTTACTGTGAATTATACTCCAAGATGCTAACTGCATGAAGGGCATTACATAAATGTAAGCTGTTGTTGTCGTATGGTGAGGTAGTGGTACTTGCCTTCCACTGAGGTAAGTGACGTAATCGTGGCATGCTTGTCAAACATCCCAAAATCCAGGTTAATTCTGTGTGTTCAGCAACCTTAAAGGCAAACAAATTAAATTAATAAAGGTTGACAGAGTGGGAGACTTCCAAAGCTTGTGAGTAGGGACATCCTCCAACGGCATAAAGCTATCCCTTGGCTACCCAACTTTGCTGCAAATTGCATTTTGCACTCCTGAAGCTCGTGGGACCACTATTTTTACTGTGCTTAGGGTTTACTGAGGTACTGAACCTAAGTGAAGGAATGTCCACAATATTGTCTGTGATGGCAAATCCAACACCGCATATTGTACCTGGGTGGAAGTTTTGCTGGATAGCCTAGTTGTTGAGTAATAACTGCAGCTTGCTGGTTTCTGGGAGTAAACAAGGTAATGAATTTCTTGTGACTGTGCAGTGACTGACAAGAAGGCAGTGGAGATGATATGCTTTGCAACTACATACTGTTCTTTTAACACTTGTGTCCTCAACGTCAAGATGTGTCCCAAGTTGTTAGGATGCATTTTGCACTTTGTTTTATTTCTTTCAAGTAACCTGCAGCTAAAATCACCCAGGCATCTTTACAAACCGAGTTAAACAGACAATAAAGTAACTCCATCAATCCAAATAGCTCTTCATACGCAATGTAAGAATTCAGAGTCGTAACCTAATCTGTTCCTTAATCCTAGCTGTCGGACCATTCTATGATGAATACAAGTGTGTGAAATAAAAGTTGACAATCTGTCTGCTTTGTATGAAATATTCCACCAGCAGTTCCTTATTCGACCAATCTCCACCTGCTTGTTTCTTGCAGTCACGTCACTCCCAACCTTGAATTCCCCTCTTACTCATTCAGGCTGATAACATAGCACGTCCTTCAGATGGTAGAAATGTTGCCCCTTATTCTAAGGAAGCATATAGCAGTTGAGAGAGATAGAAAGGATAGAGAAGATTTTTTTTTGAGAACTGTTAGGGCCATAAAGACTAGGCTTGCCAGGAGTAACCTACATCCTCACATTGTGCATTCTGGCAGATCACAGTCATATTTAAAAATTGGGCTAAAAATAAACTTCTAGTGTAATTCACTACAGCTTTCTGCTAAAAAATATATCTACATGTATTGAGCTGGAAAGAAGAATGACTAATTAACAGATAGCCTTAAAATGTGCATCTTTGTGAGTCCTTGAAGTAAAAAATTGTAACACACACAGTTTTCAGCTGGAGGTTGAACTTAGTTTGTAAGGGACCCTATCTTGCTCCTTGCTTTGATCCGATCCCACAGCAGAACCTAAAGGCTTCAGGTGCCATAGTATAAAAGGTCAGAAGGAACCAGAGAGGGGATAAGCAGAGCTGGAGAAAACAATCAAGATTTATCCAGTGCAAATGCTCTGTCAAACACTGAGTCCTGGATGAGAGCTAACTTTCTACAGCTGAATGTCAGCAAGACCGAGGCCCTCCTGATTGGCACGAATCAGCTCCTCCGCACCTCAGGCACTGGCAGCATCAGCCTCCACGGATGCACACTCCACATCACCAAGCCAGTCAGGAACCTGGGTGTCTTGTTCGACCCTCAACTGTCCTTTCTCCTCCATATCCGTGACATGACACGCTGCTTTCCCCATTGCTCGACTCTGCCATTGCCTTACCCCTCAGGCCACCTTATATACGCATTCGTCAAGGCTCGACTCTGGACACTCCCGCCGTATCGGGCTCCCTAACTCTTCCCTCCACAAGCTGCAGATCATCCTGAACTCTGCAGCTCGTGTCCTCTCCTGCACCAGGTTCCGTGACTCCATCACCCTCGCCCGGCTCCACTGGCTCCCCATCCCTCAGAGGATAGAATTCAAAATCCTTGTGCTCACGTTCAAGGCCATCCACAGTCTTGCCCCCTCCTACATCTCTGACCTGCTGACCCCTAACAAGCTGTCCCCTCCCTCTGTTCAGCAGGCTCCTGCCTACTCCATGTCTCTCGCCCGACCCACCTTACCATCGGCCGCTGGGCTTTCAGCCTCTCCGCCCCCACCCTTTAGAACTCCATCCCTTTGCCTCAATCCCTCCCTTGCCTCCTTCAAGGCACGACTCAAGACCTTTCTTTTTGACCGTGGCTTTAGCCGCATTCCTACTTCTCTGCCCTCCCTCATCCCAACCAAGCCCCCCCCCCCACGCTTGGGTCCTGATCCCCAACTGTTCAGCGCCTTGGGACGTCCTCCCGACATGAAAGCTGCTTTACAAATGTATTGTTGTTGTGCAGCTGAAAGAGGAAAGAGAAAAGGGAAGGCGGAAAATCTGCTATCAAAAACTTTTGACCCACTGCTACAGTTATAATTGATGGCATGAGGCTATTTGCACAATTAAACAACACACTGCAACCCCCACCTGTGTGCCCCACTGCAAAAGCTGCTTCACTGCTCCAGTCTGATTGGATCTTAAAACCCGGTGAAGTCAATTATTTTCTTTGGATGAATATTTTATTTGTACATGTGGAATGCAAAACTTTCTATAATCTTTAGGAGGCCCACAGCTCTGCCAAAATAACTTTTTTAAAAAAAATATATCAATAAAAAAGACTTGGAAATTTAGCTGGAACTGACCTTGGATTGTTGAAAGAGGATTGCTCGCTCAGGGTTGATGCCACATGCCAGGAGGCTGGCCGTCATGTCGAGAATATTTTGCCTAAGCGTGCTGGGGTCTTGAGGAATGGTGATGGAGTGCAAGTCCACGATACTGTACAGGACGCTGCTGTATTCAGTTTGCAGTCTCACCCAGTTTTCAATAGCTCCAAGATAGTTCCCCAGGTGAGGGATCCCAGTTGGCTGGATGCCAGAGAAGATTCGGCTAGCGTGGTTCTAATCACAAAGAAAGATTATGCTTTGTTTATAAATGTGTTGCATCACACAAAACACTTCTCCGTTATTAAAAGGAATGGCACTTATTGGCACAGACTTCAGAGCATGCAGTGGACTAAACATGCACCTTTTCTCCTTCCGACCGTGCATATGCTCACCTCCCACCTCCCCGATATCTTGCTCCACTGTCAAGTGCTCTGGGACACTACCCTGCATGAGGGGCGCTATATACATATATAAAAAAATGTTGGTGTTGTTCAAGGTTCCGGATTAGATGAATTTCTTTGATTTTAGTAACTAAAACCAGCAGAATTAAGGTACTTGTGTAATCCCCTTAATAAAATAATTCAGACACAGTGAATTTTAAATTAAAATGTCTTGGGTTTAATTTGTTTGGTATCAAAAACAGCGACATTGGATGGAACAGTATAAAATTCGAGATCCCATCTGCCTGCTCTGTGATTCAGATAGATAATAATGATAATCCTTGCATTTGATATAGTGCCTTATCACGGTTTTGGGACATCTCAAAGCGCTTCACAGAATATACAGTAAAGTGAATTGACTGTATATTTTGTGGGCGAAACTCAGCAGCCAATTGAGCACAGCAGTGTCCCACAAACAGTCATGGATTGAGTGACCAATTTTTCTTTTGAAGGAATCATTCAGATGTATCTGAAGAATAGCAGGCAAATTCTCTTGGTGTTCTGGCCAATATTCCTCCCTCATACTAAATTCATGAAACAATATCCAAATAAATTGTTCATTCATCTCAAAAGATATCACTATGTCCTTTATGGCAAGTGTATGTTACTAAGGTGAGAAGCTTGCCACAGTTATGCACTGAGCTCTCAGGAGACGCTATAAAATAGAAACACCGGTAGGTTAGTTACTCTGTTGTGAAAGCTATTCATCTATGAGTGTCTTTGGATGTCAGCCTGGCTCAATTGGTAGCCTTCTCACCTCTGAGACAGAAGGTTGTGTATTCAAGATGCACGTCACCACCACCACCAACCCCACCAACAAATTGCATTTATAGATTGCCCTACACATTGGGGGTTGTTCCAACATCAGGTCTTTGAGCTGATAGTCTAGGCTGACCCACCAATGAGTTACTGGGGAGCGCTGCATTGTCAGAGGTGCCGTCCTTCGAATGAGACATTAAACAGTCAATAAATAAGTTCATACCTCAAACAAATAAATATTTTGCCAACCCTACAAAATGACTGTACTTGCGCACAGCTTATAATATAATAATCCTTGTACTGACTGACTAATCGTAGGCAAATGGAGCAGTCAATTTTAAAGCAAAAACCTTTGGTTAACATCCTTCAATTCGAGTTTCCACAAATTCCAACTATTTCCCCAAAGTAATAGTGTGTGGGTTTACAGACGTACATTTAACGTCACTGTGGTAAAAGCTAATATTTTTCAATGTGCTTTCAAACAACATTTGACATTTATAGTTATATTAAAAAAAAACAGTTTTTTTTTGTTGCGGTAGGGGAAAATACGAAAACAGACCGTAACTAAAAAAACTAATATTTCTGGTGATAGTGGGCATTTGTTGCTCCTCCATTATCCTGCACTATGTGGAGAGGCAGCAAAAAGGATGAAATCCCCAGGTGGCAACCTCTCAGATGAGTCATTCTGGAAGATGCTGAGCCAAGGATCCTTGCAGAGTAAAAATATATAAAAATAATTGCACCAGACAGGCTGGTTTGCTGCACTTTATAAATAATAATAATAATCCTTGCATTTGATTTAGCGCCTTATCATGTCGTTGAGACGTCTCAAAGCACTTCACAGAACATACTGTATATTTTGTGGGCAAAATGCGGCAGCCAATTGCACACAACAGTGTCCCACAAACAGTCGTGGATTGGATCGCTAAATTATTATTTTTAAAATAATTTTTTATTACAGACTTTGTCAATCTGAGTAGCATTGGCTGAGGTCTTGTTTTCTCTTTTCCAACAATATACATTGCTTGGGGAGTGAGGTGGAATAGGAAGAGGAGATTCGGTGTGGATCAGAGATCAGAAAAAATATTTTGCCGTAAAAAGTTGAAATCCTTCTCTGTTGATTATTCGCTTTCCAATAGACCGTTTATCTTCAAAACAAATTAATATTCAGCTTTACTCTAATACACTGCATATTCTGTTATAATTTAATAAAGTCATTAACTTAAAATGCATGTGGACTTCTATTGTTTTTCTCAAATCCTTTAAGTCAAGTGGGTGCATTTTTGCGCAGAGAAGTCACTAATGTTGTCACTCAGTGTGCCGTGTTTTTTTGGAACACCACCAACATTTTGGGAGGAATGTTTTCACAGCGTGTAAACTTCAAATCCTCTCCAACACAAAATGCCATACAGATGCGTTTGACCTCTTATTTTTGTGCGTTCGCTTAAAAGGCTAACTTTATGAAGTAAGGTTAAATAAATGTCAAATCTATATAGTTGGGAGATCAGAATCAAATAAATTGGCTCTCCCTTTTTTCCCCTAAACATTTGCAGGACAGATACAGTATTTCCATTTAGGAGGCACAGCCTGGAGACAATCCAAGCCTGACGCTGGTGCAGAGTAACGTGTGGTGCTATTAGTTCATAAGGCTGGAATGCAGCTGTTTCAGAGAAGGGTCAAAGAACCAGACAGCCACGACAAATGCAATCCGCTCTAGTCAGCCCACCATGGGCGCAGGGGTGTGTGTCACACTGTGGGGGGGGGGGCTAAAGCTCGAGTGATTAATACTCACACGATTCCACAACGGAAGCTACAATTGGAATATGAATCTAACAGCAAGGTGCGCTCATAACCAAGAGTGACAATGTAATAACAATAGTAATGAAGGATTTCAACAAAGGAAGAAACATAGTGGATTATAAACCTTCCTCAAGGAGGTGGCTTTTCTGGATGCCAGCCCATGTTGTCACCGATGATTGATGACTGAAATCCTACTCCTCTGGCGTCGCCCATCTCAAGCACACTTGCAGCTAAAAGCTCTTTGGGCTTCACTAGTTATGCCCCTCAAATGTCCCTTCCTGCAGGAGATCCTAACAGGCAAATGGATAAACAGGACTGGGAGATTCAAGAGCCACGTTTTCTTCAGATACCAAATGGTTTCCAGGATGATTATTGTCTCCTCCCCGTCAATCTTGCGAAGCATCCAAGTTATGGGCTCTCCCACAAGTTTATTATGCTGTTAAAGCCATGGCTGTTACTGTCCTTAAATTTTGCAGAACAAACTGGGCTGGCTCTTGGAGTGGAAGTCCAATCCGGTGAGAGAGGTCATATTTCGGATGGTGGAGAAAAAAGTCATCCTTAAACCACTTATTGAGTAGAATGGTTTCCTTATATTAGTGTCTGATCTATGTGACAACAAGGCAAAGTAAACAAGATAAATACATAGCCGAAATATGACCTCTCTCACCGGATTTGACTTCCACTCCAACAGATTGTGCTGCAAATTTAAGGACAGTAACAGCCATGGCTTTAACAGCATAATATTCTTGCGCGAGAGCCCATAACTTGGATGCTTAGCAAGATTGACGGGGTGGAGACAATAATCATCCTTTTGCCTGGTTTTAGAAAGAAAGAGAGAGATGGAGAAAGATAGAACATGCACAATGGCATCCTCCTGTTCTTGTGGTCCTATGTTCCAGTTAACCCTGATATCATATTCAGTTGCAATTAGGGATGTGGATGCATATCCTATTGAACAAATAATATTTTTACCCACTGCATATTCAGTTTTACATCTGAAAAATCATTGCCAGGCATGCTTCTGACTTTTGACACCCGATGCATTTCCAAGACCTCTCTCCCTCCCTTACATTCAAACTTACGTTGCCCCCTCCCACTCTTAAAAAAGGAAATGACAACCAGGATTCCAATTTCTGAAAAATGTAGTTGCCAGAATTATATTCGTATTGCCTCTGGCTATTGGACTACCAAGATTTTGACATCTGGAAGCTATGCAGTTTCTTTTTTTCTTCTTCTAAATACATTTTTTGCCAGTTCAACCTCAGTGTAAGAATGGAATGGAAATAATTTGAAACACACGTATCCTCGGGCGAGAAAGAACAAATCTCTTGTCCCCAAAACGAAAACGGGATTGGAAGCTCGCAGTAGGGTCTAATACATGGCGATTGGCAAATCTGAGTCAGTAATGGTGATGCCTACGTTTCCTGGGAGTACTTCGTGCTGTCTTTTCCGATCTCTGCTCTAATACAATCTACTTCTGGATTGGAGATCCCATGCATGGCAGGTAGGTTTGAACCATCTCCAGGTACAAGAAGCTATAGGAGATGTTATTTGCTGCTCAGATCTCTGTTATCATCTCAGATCACAAATTGCTGCCTATTGGACGCTAGCAGCAGATCTCATTTCCAATATATAAACTTCACAGTCTGGGAATAGATTATAAAACTACCGGACCACTGCTCCAGAACTTTTTTGGATTTACAATACGTAGAACTCTCCCTGTGGTTTGGATACCCTCAAGCATGGCTCTGGGTTTCCATGTGAGTCAGACACCCGGCTGGCTAAAGCAAAAGGGGAATTCTTCCCACATTGCGGATTGATCTCCAAATTAAACTCAATAATTTGAGTGTGAACAAAAAAAGCGAATAAAGCACAAAAACTAAACTGCAACACAATTTAACAACTGCTGACAGAAAGATCAAAGTCTTACTTTTGTTCTTTGATAATCCCATATTGTATCTTGGAGCGTACATATGGGAATTAGATACAGTATTCCTAAAAGGTCATCAGCTTGGCTTTTTGGCTGGCAGGCTTGGGTGACCCTCAGCCTTGACACTGAAACCCACAATCAGTTAGTTGGCTCGGGTAGTTTCTGCAGTGAAGAAAATAGTCAAACGAAAACGGCAATGAATGGAGGTGAGGGATAACATAGTGGAAAACAAAATGAGTCGGGTGTAGACACCAGTTTTGTGAAGACCAGCTTTGCCATTGTTAAGCACTCCGAGATGCTGCCCT